ATGGAATAGCGGGGAAGTAGTTTAGGTAGTGGCTTTTTTTAAAATCTCATGCAAAAAACGTGTGTAATTCTGAGATGTTATTCAACTCAGTGTAGGATTTAGGGATAGATAATACCCCTAACTTAAAATATGCACAGTGACTCAGCAAGTCTATTTATTTGGAGGGAAGTTGTTCTTTAAGTATGGACTCTGAATAATATGAAATGGAAAGTTAGTTGACCTAATGGACAGGGAACTAGTGTAAGAGTCTGAAGTCTCAGTTTTTAGACTCTGTGTTCCTCCAAAGAACAGTGAAATATTTTTCAATCCCTTCACTTATTTATCTGTGAATTAAAGGGAAGAGTTGGGTTAAATAAATGTTTCTTAATACCAATTAAACATCCAAAAACCTGAGGAGGATTTAATTGTGGTTTTACATACAGGTACCCAGACTGTATGATTGAGGTGGGGAATAGAATTCTATAATTTTAATAAACATCTCAATTGATTTTGATAAGCTGATCTATATAATGATGCTTAAGGATCTCTGGACCAAATGATCTTTTAGGCTTTATCCAGTTATTGAGCTTCAATATTTTTCTTCAAAAAACAAGTATATAAAATAGCAAGGGCAACTGATACTAAAGATGTTCAATTAGGAATCCTGAGAGAGTAATTACAAAGAAAGAAAATAACTCACCACGTATTGATTAAAGATGTTGTCTCTAGAGTTCAATGCAATTGGTTTGATATTTGTCATGCACACACACACACACACACACACACACACACGGTGGGTCATTGTGAAAATTTATCAAACATCCTTACCCTCAGTTTCATTATAGTTAAGAAGAATAATCTCTGCATCCTGCTTCATTGAAGGATTAAAGGAGACAACATAGGTAAGTGCTAAATAGATTGCCTGGCAAATAATAGTAGCTAATAAGCATTAGAGGGTGATGATGATACCAATGACAGAAATTCAAATGTAGGACTTCACTTCTTCTTTCAGACGAAAAGATGAGGAAATAAACAGGCATATATTTTTCACAACCCCTTCATTCTAAAATGAGGTGTTTTTGAGATTTAAACATTTTTATTGTGCATTATAATTATACCTAAAAGAGGGATTCATTATGCAATATTCATATATGTGCATAACATAATTTGATCACTCATTCCTCAGTACTTTCTCTTTCTCCTCCCTCCTCCCTCTCCTGATCCAATTGCTCTTCTCTATGGATCTCCCTTTTATCATCATCATCATCATCATCATCATTTTAATTAGTTATTTTGACTTGGTTCTGAGGTGTCCCCCTAAAAGCTGTGTGTTAGGCAATGAAGGAATGCTCAGAGATAAAATGACTGGATTATGACAGATGTAACCTCCTGTGATTAATAATTTGAACCACTGGTTGGTAACTGAAGGCAAGTGGGACATGGCTGGAGGAAGTGAGTGAAAGGGTCTTGCGCTTGGGGATTGGATTTCATCCTTGGACACCTGTTCTCTTGCTCTCTCTGTGCTTCTAGCTGCCATGAACTGAGCAGCTTTCCTTTGCCACACCTTATGCCATGGATGTTCTGCCTCACCTTGGGCCCAGAGCAATGAACTTGACCAGCCATGGACTGAACTTCTGTTACTATAGTCCTTAAATACACTTTTTCTCCTTTAAGTAGTTATTGTCAGGTATTTTGGCCACAAAAGTGAAAAGATAACTAACACTGAAATTGGTACTGGGAGCAGGGATTTTGCTGTGACTAATCTGACCATGTGGTTCAGAAGCCTTTGGAACTGATTTGTGGGGAGAGTCTGAAAAAGTTCTGAAATACAGGTGGGAGAAGACTTGGAATGTCATAAGCTGAGCTTAATGGGTAATGGTGATGGGAGCTCAGAAAACCAGAATGCTTATAAAAATGCGGACAGTGAAGATTGTGCTAATGAGATTTATGAGGGGAATGAAGACTCATAGGGAATTGCACTAAAGGCTGCACATATTACATTCTGGCAAAATCTTATCTACACTTCTTTCTATGTCCTGAGACTTTGTGTGAGGCTGAATTCAAAAGTGATGAACTAAATAAAGTGGAGGAAATTTCAAGGCAGCACAGCATTCAAGTGGTGGCATGGGTATTGCTGACTGCTTTTATCCAGGTTTACTGAGAGAATTGGGAGCAGAAAGAAGAGGATAAAGAGTTTAATTTTTGCAGTTTTCTCAGAAAAGAAAACTACAAAATTTAAAACTTAGGGCCAAGCCACTAAAAATAAGTACTTACAGAGAGCTAATAGCAAAGATGCAAGACATACCCATGGCAGACTCATGAGTATAAAAGGGAAAACTGCTTTAAGAGACCAAGGGGGCATCCTGCTTGTACAGGGTGCGCCTAGGAAGTTATTTCCCCAGGATTTGTTTCACTATGTTAAGCTTCCCAGGCACTCAGAGGTCACTGCAGCCATGGGTTAAGGGGGCCCAGCAGATCTTGCTCTCATTCATGTGGTGCTGCAGTAATGCACTGGTTCTGCAGTAATGCAGGATGCTGAAGTTATGGGGTCATGGAGGCTTCCACTGAGATTTCAAAGGAAGGCTTGGGAGGTCAGGGCACATGTTGCAGGCTTGAAACCCCTGCAGGAAGTTACCAAGAGGGTGATGCATGAAGCTCTGAAGATGAAGCTGAAACTGCAATGGAGATCCCCGGAACTAGGAGAGTCCAAGAACATCTGCCAAGGGAAGCTGATGGCTGTGGACAGAGCTGTGGGTGAGAGAGGCCACGTGGGCTGCAGCTGGCAAGTCCACAGGGGTGGATCAGCCCGAGTCCTTTGGAGATCGTATCTTGCTGCTGTGTGCTCCAGATGCCAGACATGGAGTTATGGGGCTTCTTCATCCAGCTAGGTTCCATCCATTTTTTGTCCCATTCCTCCATTCTATGCCCCTGTTCCTCCCAATACTCTGTGTCATTTTTTATTGGATGTATATAACCTGTTTTTGATCTTTACAGGAGCTCACAACTAAGAGTTGGCCTTGAGTCTCAGAGGAGACTTTGGGCTTGGAATTTTGAGCAATTCTGAAAATGTTGACTATGGGAACTCTGGAAGATGAATTAAACTCACTTTGATTTGTCAGATGAACGTGAGATTTTGGGGGCCAAGGGCAGATTGCTATGGCTTGGATATGAGGTGTCCTCTGAAAAGCTCATACGTTAATGCAGGAATGCTAAGAGGTAAAATGATCAGATTATGAAAACCATAACCTCGTCAGTGGAATAATCAACTTGATGGGTTAATAATTTGAATGAACAACTGGGCAGGGGCTATGGGCAGGTGGGGCATGACTAGAGGAAGCAGGTCACTGAGGATGTGCTCTTGGTGATGATATTTTGTTCCTAGCTCCTTGTGTGCTCCCTCCCCATGTCCTGACTGACATGAGCTGACCTCTTTCCTCCACTCTACCCTTCCATCATCATTTTCTACCTCAACTTGGGCCCCGGGGCAAAGGAGTTGGCCTGCTGTGGACTGAACCTCTGAAACTTTGAGCCCAAAATAAACCTTTACTCCTCTAAGTTGTTCTCATCAAGTATTTGGGCTACTGCAACAAAAAGGTAATATGCTAGTGCATCATACTTATATGTATTTTATATATGTTATGTATATATGTATATATATATATGTGTATATATATATATATATATATACACACACACACACACACACACACACACATATATTTGATTCATTATGGTAGAGTCATACATGCAGATAGCATAATTTGGTAGATTTGGTAGATTTCATTCCCCAGTACTTCTTCAAGTGCTACCCACCTCCTTTATGATATTTTTTTAAAAAATATTTTTATTAGTTATTGATGGACCTTTATTTATTTATATGTGGTGATAAGACTCAAACCCAGTGCCTCGCACATGCTAGGCAAGCATTCAACCACTGAGCTACAACCCCAGCCCCCTTTATGAGGATTTTTAAAAAGAAAAATATTGTATGTGTCTTGGGACCGTCTCCTCAAATAATTTAAGATTTAGTTCACTTCAGTCTATTCATGTAAACATCCTATTGCAGCATAGGAACTGTTACAGAGCTGTAGAATTCCTCTAAGGTGTGGTAATATCAGGGGTGAACATGTCTCAGGCCGTGTTGGTCTCTCCATAAAAGTTTGAATTGAGAAAAACAGAGAGGAAAGAAAAAATGAGATTCCTGGAAATGAGAGAAAAGAAGTAGGGTCAGATTGAAGGTAATGTGAGGACTGGGGTAACAAGGAATTTAAAGGAAGATTTGATGCTGGACATGGGGACTTGGACTTGGTGACAGTAGAAATAAAATCAAGTCAGGTGTGCGAACATACAGGTGAGGCTTTTTTGTTAGGGCTTCTCTTAAGACCAGACCAGAGGGCTCCCCTCAGAAGGAGAGTTAGTTTTGTTCATGTGAAAGAGTGGGTTAAGGGTTAGGAATGTTTCCCGGCTTTCTGTCCATTTTAAAGGTGTATTTTCTTTTTCTAGGCGGCTCTTTAACTCAAGGAAGGTGTGGTCAGTCCGGCATCCTGGAGTCAAGAGTTAGCTGTTTGTATCAGTGTGACATCCTGAGTCAACATCTCTGCCTCCCCCATGACAGGGCTGAGCTGAGAACACGCAGGTGGGAAATGGAAGAGAGCACAAATCATGGCAAGTGACAAGCTGTGGGCCCTAGGAATTTGCCATGTGGAGGTCTTCTCAACAGTTTTTATCCTTGAGGTTGTTTGTCCTCAGAGTCACAGCGAGAGCACCCTGGCCCTAACGATGCGCCTGGTTTCTGAAGGTGATAAGGTTGTTGGAGGGTGATGGGTAGGGCACAGGCTAAGCGTTTAGTACCTAACAGGTCATGCTGCTTTTTAATGACGATCAGGCCATGAGTGCCTTTGCCCTCTGTCCCTCTGGTGGTCTGTGTCTGCATTTGGGAGTTGGAAGATCCGAGAGTCAGCACAAGCACTTTGATGGTAAATCTAGCATTCCGTCTTCTCCAGCCTCCAGATACTACCGTCATGGAGAACCAATCCAGCGTCTCTGAGTTTTTCCTCCGGGGAATATCTGATTTGCCGGAGCAACAGCACTTACTCTATGGAATTTTCCTGTGTATGTATCTTGTCACCTTGACTGGGAATGTGCTCATCATCCTGGCCATTGCCTCTGACCCACACCTCCACACCCCCATGTACTTCTTTTTGGCCAACCTGTCCTTGGTGGACATGGGTTTAACATCCTGCACAGTCACCAAGATGCTGGTGAATGTACAGACCCGGCATCCTACCATCTCCTATACTGGTTGCCTCACACAAATGTACTTCTTTCTGATGTTTGGTGACCTGGACAGCTTCTTGCTGGCTGTAATGGCATATGACCGATACGTGGCCATTTGCAGCCCTCTCCTCTACTCCACAGTAATGAGCCCCCGGGCCTGCGTCCTGCTGCTCGCCTTGTGTTGGCTCCTCACTAACCTGGTTGCCCTCACTCACACCCTCCTCATGGCCCGGCTGTCCTTCTGTGTTGTGGGGGAAATTGCTCACTTTTTCTGTGACATAACTCCCGTCCTGAAGCTGTCGTGTTCCAGCACCCGTGTCAATGAGTTGACGGTTTTTGTCTTAGGAGGCACTGTGCTCGTGGTCCCCTTCCTGTGCATTGTTATCTCCTACATCCACATTGTGTCTGCCATCCTGAGGGTCCGGACTCCTGGTGGAGGGGGCAAGGCCTTCTCCACCTGCGGTTCCCATCTCTGTGTTGTCTGTTTCTTCTACGGGACCCTTTTCAGTGCCTACCTGTGCCCTCCCTCCGTGGCCTCTGAAGAGAAGAGCATTGCAGCGGCTGCAGTGTACACGGTAGTGACTCCCATGCTGAACCCTTTCATCTACAGCCTCAGGAACAAGGACATGAAGGGAGCCCTGAAGAGGCTCCTCGGTCACAGGAGCTTTTCTTTTTAGATATAGCATTAGCAATGTTTAATGAAAATATATAGACTTGGAATCACACAGCGGACTTCAACTGGGAGTCTGCCACACACTGGCCATTAGACCATCTTTCAGTTACTTACTTGATTCCTCTGAGCTTTAATTTTCTCATCTCATCCAACGCCAGCGTACTTCTTGGGTAGGATGGGACCAACGGTGAGAACGTGGAAACCTTCTTTCCTTATTTGATGGCAGTTTCTGTCTAATAAGGTAACGTGGGAGATTGACTGAGATGAGCTATGAAATGCATGGGGTACAGTGGCAAATAGTAGGTTTCAACAAATGATAGTTGTTATTGTTATTATTATTATTGATGATGAAGATGTTGTTCTCACTCTTCATCCTTCCCCCAACCCAGACATAAAAAAAAAGAAAAACAAAATGAAACAAACAAAGCAAAAACCTGTTAAGTGCTCTGGATATATCACGGAACAAGACAAAGCCTCTGTTTTCATGACTCTTTCATTCAAGATTACTCATTCATCGATCATTAAAATTTTAGGAACACCTATTTTGTTATAAGACTAAATGGAAGTTAAGAGAAAGAAATAAAGTGTGGAGTTTACTTTCCAGGTAACATGGAATAGGTTGAGAATTGCCTATCAAAGAAAGTCTATGTTTAGATGGCTCTGTGGGTTGCCCAATTTCCCTGATTCCCTAAGATTTCACCAGGAATGGTGTTAGAGCTCCCTGTGCTGCTCCTTCCCCCTGCTGGTCCAAAAGGTCCAATGTCAGCATCCTTCTTGGGTAGGAAGAGACCAAGGGGTGAGAATACTGAAACCCTCTTTCCTTATTTGATGGCAGATTTGCCTTCAGCTGTAAAAAAAAAGAGGCTTAAATTGTTGTAAAGAAAGAAAAAAATGATGTTCACAGGCATGTGAGGTTTCTTTTGTCTCCAAGAACCTAAGAAATATTTAAAACACTAAAAAAAAATGAGTCTTATATAGTTTTGATCCCTTACTTCTGGTGTGACCAAGTATCCACTATCCACCTAAACATTCCTCCCTGCAGAAGTTTATTTCTCAGACCCAACCCCTCTTAGAATGTTTCATGATCCCTATACTTTGTCAATTTTATAATTACTGAAATCCTTCACAGAATCAAACCACCCCAGCTTCAGCAGCAGTTGAGTACAATTGTGAATCACTTAGAGCAGCCTGCTCCATCTTAGCCCCTAAGATTCCATTCATCATAGGGGTCTGTGAACGGGTTGAGGAGGCCATTCTCATATAACCAGAAGCCCTGGAGTCCTTCTGCCCTTATCTCCTTCCATTCTGTTGACATCTTTCGCTCTGCTGACCACAGGCCACTGACAGTCTCTGAGACACCAATGCCCAGCTTTCTTCTGTCTTTTGGAATAGCAATAAAATACTTCTCACTTCTTATGATCGTATTTTTTCAGGAGTGGGTTCGCTGGCAGATTTCTAAGGCTCCTGATGACATGACTAGTGAACTTGAGGCAGACTGAGATGTGCGAGTATCAGATACAGCATCACACCCCCCCTGCAGCCCAGGTCCCCTCGGCTATCCTGCACCCGCTGCTCAGACTGCCCCAGTCAGCTGCATCTTCTTTGCTCCTGGTGGTTTCTCTAGGTGGCCCTCTGTTTCTTCATTCTGATCCTCAGGGATTCTCAGTCCATTCATAGTGCAGTACATGTCTGAACTTCATGTTGGGGTGGATTTAGATTCTTTCCCTCAAGTCCCAGGGAAACTGAGAGATATGAGACTGGGTGTCCAGTTTGGTTATACCAAAATAATTGTGTGGCAGTGAGGAGTTAGTTCAGCTCAGAGCATATAAAGGCCCACCAACAGATACTATTGCCTATCACTGTTCCACAGTCCAGTGTTCTTAGATTCCACCCAACTGTATTCAAAGGTCCTCCCTTGAATACATCCCATTACACTCACTTCTGATCCCTAAACTCAAACTTCTATTTCTTTATGATCACCTGTTTCAAGCAACGGGAATGTGTTGTTAGCATTTAAATAATTCACACTGAAGTATAGATGAGTTATAAATCTTTGCACTTTGGTAGTGTAATGTGAGCAGGATGTGACTTTAGCTGGGATGAGAGGTGGATGATGGAGAGCTTCCTGTTGCCTCTTGAATACATAGGGTATTTGGTTTCCTCTTGCTTACAAGCTGTTTTGAAAAAAAAAAAAAAAACAACAACATATGGTTTGAAATCTGTTCCTTCACTTCTTTAAGATTGCTAAATGTAATCAAAATTATTCAAGGTGCACCAGATTTGCTGGTGCATCCCTTTAGTCTCAGCTACTTGGAACACAGAGTCTGGAGGATTGCTTGAGTTCATGAGTTCAAGACCATAGCAGGACACAGTCTCAAAAAAATTATCCAAAGTGCCTAGCCTTTCACTTTATTCTTAAATATCATTCACAGAGCCAGAAACCAAAACCAATTTTTAGTTCTATCACCTGCTTCCCATCACATACCAAGACCTGTTTAGCATATCTTCAAGATAATCTCTTCTCTATCCTCAAGCCATGATCATCATTCAGGCATACATCACCTTTTACCTGGATGTTCAATAACTTTCCAATTGAGCTCCCTGTCTCTAGGCTCCCCAAGCCATTGTCAAACCATCTTACACATCGGTTACTTCAGGAATCTTTTTCCAGTACAAATACAACATTCCACAGTTTTCCCTACTCCACCCTATTCCCAGTCAATGATACTCTTATCACTTGCAAGGTAGTATCTAAATTCCTAAGAGGGCATCCTAACCCATTCACAAAGTAGTCTTTAACTGCTTGTCTAGATTTAGCTTTTAATGTTCCCTTGACACACACACATATGCATGGGAACACCTTTTTTTCCCCTAAACATTTCCCTGAAGTTATTGTGCTATTTTAATATTCTGGGTCACTCTGTCCCCTCTGTCTAGACTTTAATTTGCCCTCTATGAATCAATCTTTAGCATCCTTCAACTTTCAATTGAAGAATTATTTCTCTGGTAACTATCTTTGCTAATATCCAGTGAGCATATCTTTCCTTATGTGACTATCATATAATTGTGTCATTGTCTCTACCAATTTTCTCAACTGTAAAATACAGATAATAACAATGTGTGCTTTATAGGGTTATTCTAAGGATTAAAAGAGATAATATAGTAAAATTTTAATATAGTGCTAATATACAGTAATCAGGCATAATAATCTCAATTATTCATTGTATGATTATATTAAAGCATTTTGTACTTTTACATATTTTTTAGTCCACCTGTCTCTACACTACTAGAATGTGAGCTTCTTTAGTTGGGGGTCACATCTTTTTCCTGCAGGGAGAGGTGCACTGCCTAGCATGGAGCAGATAATTTGCTAAATGGCTACTGAATGGAAGGAAAGTCTCACTATTTTTCTGATATTAACTCTAACTTTTTATGCTTAGTGATGAATAAATTTAATCTTATGGATTTATGAGATTGCTCTTGATTTAATTTATAGCTTTTCCCTCAGTAGTAGTGGAAAGAAATCAGGGGAGGGAGGAATATGAATGTGTCAAAGTGAACCCCACTCTTATGTATAACCATAATGAATGAATAAAAGCATGAAAAATCATCTTAGATTCATAGATAATAATCAATACAAAATTCATGGCTTTTTATATTTTATCAAAAAGTGAATTTAATTCTTTATTAGATCCTCTTCTACTTTTCACATATGGCAAAATAGGATACTTTTTGCTTACTCTTTAATCTTCATGTCAGAGTTGAAATCACACATACACGCATGCACACACAAACACACACACACACACACTATAGCGAAGCTGAAATGCTTTTGCTTCTAGGATGTTATGATTCCTCTCCTCTGAGAAAGTGTGCTCTTTTATCACACTTTGAAAGAATAAATGTTAACTCTTGAGAAAGATATAAACTAGTCCTTTGAAATATCAATCTGAACAACTTCCAGTTGTATTTGCAAACCTGTGACCACATTATAGATTCATGATTTTCAAAAATGCCGCAAACTTTGTTCTAAACCCAGTGAGATGCTTCCTTAGGGAAGGTCATGAAACTTGGCCCTGGCATGGCTGAAGAGAAAAGTGCCAGGTATATTGTATACTTCCAATGTGATTTCCAGAAATTCTATCCACATCAGTATGACACTTGCCAGTGTGGTTTGGTCTGTCCACAAATAAGAAAACCAATCTAGGGGACAGGTGGACTAGCAGGGAAGGTGGTCATAAACCCTTTCCAATAGGCAGGTGGGCTGGCTATTTCTTTAGAGGAAGTCACTCAAGAGTGTCACCAGCCCATGAGTATGAATGACAGGTGTTGACCTCTTTGGAAAGTGGTCCTGTCAGAACTAGGCAGAACTTCAGGGATTTGAGGGACAGAGCTGGAGTAGGCTGGGGAACTGAGTGAGTACTCAGTGCTGCAGACGACACCACCAACATGGGGAGGTGTCTGCAGCAGGTTCACGATTGTGTCCAGGCTAGCTAAGGCAGGCTTCCTGTAGACCTGCAAGAAAGGTTGCATCCCTGCTCAGGTTTTAACTCTGGACACATGGACAGTATGGTATTCTTCCAATCTGTCTTTCCTCATCTACACACCCATCAACTCCCTCACACTCTGTTAGTCATCCAGCTCTAGCTCAAGCCACAGCAGATGTATTGCTGTCTCCCAGGAAAACTGATTGCCTTTGAATTGGAAATATAGCAAACATGTCATGTTGCCTATAATTACAATTCAGCAATATCTGTATAAGTTCTGCTCCCAAACTCATCTCTGTTAGGTAGGAAAAATTAACATTCATTTTTCTTAGTTGTAGTGTTAAGCCAGATTTACTATTGAATTCAGTTAAAATAAAAATGTGTTAGGTATTTTATAATTTTTCCACCTATACTAGAGAAGCAATTGAAGGTCAGATGGATTAGGTGAATGGCCTGAGGCCACACAGCCCCCACTCTGGTACATAAGGCTTGCGATTGAGATCTATTTTTCCTTGCTTGCAGCTACATGGTGCCGAGTCTCAGAAGCACTGGTAATTCTGTTTATCCTCAATTATAGGCCCCAAGATAGAGACCTATGGGGCCCTTCACTGGATGCTGAAGAAGATACGATATAGAAGACAAAGATATATGATTACTCAGCTGTACAGTACAAACCTAGAGTCACTAAATTGAGTATAAATGACTTTCAGGGAGCTAGATAATGAAGAGAATGAATGAGAAAGGGACCAAGTTCAGTGGGGCGACAGAAGGCTCCAGACAATGGATACTCTGTCTTTCTCATCACCTATCTGGATTGAGCCAATTCTTCATTAAAATTCCCACATGCAGTCAGTAGATTCAGACAGCTACTTTGAAAGCAAATTGTTGAATGAAGGTTACTATAGTCTAAAAGGGTGGTCAGTGTTCAAGGACTTGTGTCCCTGAATGTAGCAGCTGATCCATAGGTAGAGGGTTTCTTGGTACCATAAAGGGTACTATATAGTTTCTTCTCCTGATCCACAACAATCATTACCACCACCACCAAAAAATTTAAGAACACTGAAAGGAAGATAGAGGAAGGAAAAGACATAATTTAGAAATTCTATGCCAAGGGATCTCTTTATTCAACATCACCCAACCATTCATAAGAATATACCCAGGATATAAGAGAAGAAATTTAAGTACCACTAAATAATTTCTAGTGGGCAAGAGAAATCACCAATAATATTAACTCAGAATTCACAGTAGATACTAAATTGTTGCAAGGAAAAGAGAGAATAAAGATAAAAAAAAATACAATTCAAGTAACTAAATATTTATTGAGCACTTATTTTATGCTGAGCCCAAGATTAGGAATCTAGCATTTAGAAATACATGAATATATAAGCAATGTCATTGAGACAAGGCTGTTGCCTTATTTAAGAGTTTCTCCACAGCTCTCTTCATGTCTCTGTTCCTAAGGCTATAAATGAAGGGATTCAACAGTGGGGTGACCACTGTGTACATAATAGAAGCAACTATGTCCTTGTTACTGTAGGTGCCAGAAGAGGGGAAGAAATAAACTCCGATAATTGTGCCATAATATAGAGACACCACAGAGAGGTGGGAGCCACAGGTGGACAAGGCTTTGCAGATCCCTTTGCTAGATGGAACTTTGAGAATGGTGGCCCCAATGCGGCCATAAGAGATCAGGATGCACATCAGAGGTAGAGTGACGACTGCCACTCCTAGGGTGAAAATGACCAGTTCATTGAGGGAGGTGTCTGAGCATGAGAGTTTGAGTAAGGCAGCAAGGTCACAGAAGAAATGGGGGATGGTGTCGCCATCACAAAAAGACAGCCTGGCCAGGAGGAGGGTGTGAGACAGGGCGCTGGCACAGGACAGGATCCAAGACACCGCTACTAGCAGGGTACATAGCTCCTTTCTCATGATGATAGCATAGTGCAGGGGGTGACAGATGGCCACATACCTATCATATGCCATTGAAGTGAGAAGGAAATTGTCCAGATCAGTGAAAAATATGAAAAAATACATCTGTGCTATACATCCTGCATAAGGGATGGACTGATCCTGAGTTTGCATGCTTATTAGCATCTTTGGGACAGTGACAGATGAGAAAGAGATGTCGGTGAGGGCCAAGTGGCTGAGGAAGAAGTACATGGGGGTGTGGAGGCGAGAGTCCAGCCTGATGAGCAGGATGATGAGCAGGTTCCCCAGCACCGTGGTCAGATACATGCCCAGGAACAGGGCGTAGTACATGCCTTGCTGCTCTGGCCGAATAGGGAGCCCCAGGAGGAGGAACTCGGACACACTGCTCTGGTTCTCCATCCTCATGCTGCTCTTCTCTACTGGGACGGGAGGGCCCTTGAAGAAAGTAAAAACAAAGTGTGACTTAGAGCAGGCAGATAAAAGGAGAGCCATTCAAATGATGAATACTGTATACCAGTGTCCATCTTCATTGCCATGTCCCTATTAAAAAATCTTCTAAAATAGAATTTGTCAACAGAGAAGAGAGTTTGATATGGCATTACTCACCATCCAGGGAAGAGGCAACTTTGACCAAAGCATAATTTGCAGCCGTGTCTAAGTCAGTGAAGAGAAACCTCCATGGTCTTAGGAGAGGAATATTAGGTTAAGATGGTCCCAATATCTATTCTGATTCTATACTTTAACAGATAATCATTAGCCTTTCTCATGTCTTCAAGTTGCGATGTATCAACTTCTGAAATATGACTTCAAAATCCATCAATAATCAAAGTCGGGGGCAGAAGTTTCAATAGCATATGCCTAAAGAAAACTGGGCCAAAAATTAAGCACCAAAGTTCCCAATATATATAAAATTGATGAGAAAAAAATATCTATTGGTTAAAAGGTCACTGCTATAAAAAGAGAAAACATTATTGGCAGTTCCATATTTATTATAAGTAATAAATTTGTCAGGATCTTTTAGATAATTTTCTAATAACCTTCTGAGTCAATGAGTTATCAAGGCACCATGAAAACACAATCCATAATAGAGTTTTCCTCAACTGAGGATAAAGAAAAGGGCCACTCATGTATCCTTTTCCCTTTTTTAGCTTCCTCACTGGGCTCCCAGAATCTTGATCTTTAGAACTTGCTAATAGGCCCTGTTCAAGATCTAGTTATATCCAGGGCCCCCAACTCATCAGTGTCAAGTGTCTTAAAAATGTATTTGCAGTCTTCCTCATCAACTACTATCTACCCATTAAAATACTCTAAAAACTAAGTTATTCAATCCTGTAAGACAAGTGGGGAAAAAGTTCCCTTTAAGCCCCATATCAGTTAAATGCCTACTAGAGATGCCTATAGACAGAAAGCCAATAAGAAGATATTACAGTTATATTATACTAGTTCTTAACTAAAGGAAAATTTAGAAGTTTTATATAGGTTAATGGTAGGCAAAAAATTCTTTGCTTTTCTAAGTTGGTGATTTGAACATGCTCCTATCCCATATGGATGTACCATCTCCTTTTTAAACTTACTGAAAACAACTAACATATCAGATGTGACAGTTCTGAATATAATAACACCTGGCCCAGTTCTCAATCTGTCCCCGATTGCTTAAATATTCTGGCTCTCCTTGGAACTGTGACTTTAAGATAAGAGCTTCCTGCCTGAGGGTTGCGTGGTCTGTTGAGAAAAGCATTACAATTAGGAATAGCTCCAAATTCAGGCAGCATCACTTCATATTTGTGAGTTCTGGGCAAGCAGCAAAACCCCATTTTTCTCATCTTTAAGTTAGAAGTAAGACACTGAGCTTAAGTCCTGAGAATATTCTGAATATTAACAGAACGATAACTCAGATATCCAGTATTCTGGACTTCCCCCTCTTTCTCCATTCTCTTCTGGTTTCTCTCATGCTATAAAATGATGAAATGATGACTCCCTCCCAAAGCTGTAATTCTATCTAGTTTATGAGATTTAGGATTTTAATAAAAGCTCCTGGATCTAATTAAGCCATGCCTTTGGTGTTGTCATAGTTCTGTATTAGTTCTAAGTAAAGACCACATAGAGATTCTCACTCCACACCCAACCTTCTCAATACCTTAACAACAGCTTGCTGATGATGGATGTTTTCTTGATAGTGAGGGTGTGTGCTGTAGAAGGCAAAGCCCAAGTTTTTAAGCCAGAGAGAATGGATTCAAATGTTGCATCTCCTGAAACTTCAGTTTTTCCTCTGTAAAACTGGAATAATAATCCCTGCATTTTATTGTAAGAATTAAGTAAAATGGTGTCTGTAAAACAACTCTCTCATAGGAGCTGTTCTAGATAAGGTGACATAGCTTCCATTAAATAAAGAGTATAAAGATCTCTAGGGAAGACACTCAGTGTCTTTAATGAAAACCAGGAGAAAAAAGTAACTATGTGGAAATATTCAAAATCCTCTATTTTAGCTATTTTGAAATACACAATACATTGTAGTAGATTTTTCCTAGGAGCAGGGTTTGATGTCTTTAATGAAGGTCTGAAACTACACTAAGGGTCATAGGTAAGAAATCATCAGGGTGATTCTAACAGGGAGTTGCATTATGAGAGCTTTGCTAAAAAAGAAATCAAAGCTCTATAGCCAGAAATAACTTCAAACATACATACAATAAAAGTAGGACTGCTATACAAATAGGAGAGAATGATCAGGGACTTTGGAGAGAAACACTAAAGAGAACTGATTTACACTACACACGTTAAGAAACACACATCCTGATACCTAAAACATGAATGATGACACAATACTTCCAGCCTGGATTTGGGGGTGTGCTTGCTAATTTATATAGTCATTTGGCTCTATTCCTCCACTCCCTAAGACTTGGAGATAGAGGCATGAGCATTATTGACTAGTGATGGTTGCTATATCCTTTCAGCACAGAGAGCATAGGGAGTCTCTGGGCACCTGTGCATGCACACACACCTGCTACTGATGAATTCCCAGTCCTGCTCTGAACTTTATGCTCAGGTTATCCTACTCCCAGAGATTTGCATTGCCTTCTCAGATGCTCTCCAGTAGACCTAGATTTTGCATATAACTTCCTTGGCATGGACATCAAAGAGAAAAGTCATGAGCTTGGAGCTTGCTTCTCTCATTTCACCAGCTTCAGAAATGGAGATGTGAAGACTTCACTCTATCCACTAAGGTTAGGACCCAATGGGACAGGACACCAAGTTGTGATTAGAGACTTGAATTAGACATGTATTAATTTCTCAGTTTTCCTCTTACTCCCTCTAGGACAGATGCCCCAGGGCAGTGGTCTCTAAACTTTAATATTCAGCAGAATCAACTGGGGACCTTGTTAAAGATGCAGATCTCAGATCCACCTCCAGAGATGCTCATTTATGAGATTTGGGGCCAGATATTTTTCAGGAAGGTGTTTCTGAGGACAGAAAACATTGTCCTTATGAAGAGCATCAGGATGCAGGCCCTGAGCTCAAGAGATGGGGAAATTCCTTCCCTGCCAGATTCGGATTGCCCCTGTTAGGTCATAGTTTGGGATGTGCAGAGGAATTTCCCTCTCAAATGCAAAGTACCTTTTGCTTGTCTGTTTGTAAAAGTAATGCATCTTCATCACGTGAATCCAAATACTCTGGACATGAAAATGATGGCAAAAGTTAAAATACCTTGCCTATCCATTATTCATTTCTAAACCTTTTAAAATGATTTTTATTAGTAAACATTTATATTTATGCAAGTGGGATTCATTTTATAGTATTTCATGATTCTTTTTCTATAATTATTTTACTTACATTTATATTTCCACTTCTATGTGCATCATTACTTTTAAAATATACTTAAAGTAAAAAGGTTTAATCAGTCTCTTCTGGAATTAGCACAAAGATTCCCTATGCGATGTTATTAAAGATTATATAAGGTTTTGAAATCATCTATTGTGTCAGTTGCCCAATCGAGGCTACTTTAATATTTCTAAAAGCATCAACTGTAATGGGCTTCTCTGTTTGGGCTCCTCAGTATCCGTGGCTTGATTGTTTGAAAAGGCAACAAACAATCCAACTGAGAAAATGCCTGAACAATAAAAGTTCCAGTTGAACTCCGGAAAAGGAGGTGACCATGTCAAATTGTTTCCACTCACCTGTAGTATAAACCAAAGATTATGGAATGAAGTTTTATGAGAAGGGCAGAAAGGGCTATTGCAATTTTTTCACATTCTATATTGAATATCAAACATCCAACTCCTTCAAAATGTTTTGGTTTGCATCCTTACATCCCAAGCAGACTCTGTAGGTATCACTATAGCCTTCAATGTCATTCCGACTGCTGGTTACATACTATCTAATCTTATATTTATGAGTGAAATTGGGAAAACATTGTATTTTGCATAGGCAGGTGCCAAAACAAACAAAACCAAAATCACTCCCCAAGAAAAACAATCCACAGAAGTGATGTAAAGACCAATATAAAAATGTGATGTATCTAATGATAATAATGTGGATTGGATTTTATACAAATGCTATATTATGTCCTGTGTCCAGAAACATGTCAAGTTCTATGACACCTTTTAGAAATAAATGACATCATGGAGCACAAAATTAGTCAATGTTCCGCCAAGAACTCAAGAGTACCAGTGTGTGTGTGTGTGTGTGTGTGTGTGTGTGTGTGTATGTGTGTGTGTGTGGTGGGGGTTACAGCTTTTTCAATATCATCTAAAGTTTTAATGCATATTTTATTATATCATGTGTGAAATAATTGTTAGTGCAAAATAAGAAAATATGATTTTTAGAGTTATTCTAGAACATGTGAACATGTTCTAATGATAGAGGGAAAATCAGAGTATTGAGTGATATTAATAAAGTCACAAGTCACATCAAATTTACTCAAAATTTAATGGAAAAAAAACCATGTTGAACATATGATGTATGTTTTCAAAACTTTGGATTTATTTTCACTTAATTGTAGTTTGATGTGATAATACAAGATATGGTATATGGTAGCTGGTATGTCTATCTTCTGTATGAAAGAGAAAAAGAATTCTCATGCCTCAGGAAAGAATATTAGATTTTTAAAATTTCTTATTAGAATATTATCTGTTATATTAGAGATTAAAAATTTTACTGCATCCAGAATTAAATAGAAAAATATCAGCATGAACCACTGTTTCCTCTATAACTAAAATAATTGAAGCTGTCTCTTGCTTCACTCTACCTGGAACAGAATTCATGAAATGTGCATCCGACAACTTCCCAGATTGAGTTCTTAGACCAGTTCTTTTCAAATTCTAGTTCACATTTCTGCAGAATCAGGGCTGCCTGGGAGCTTGTTAGAAATGCAAGTTCTTGGGCCCTACATCAAAACTGCTGAATCAGAATTTATGGACGTAGATCATAGGGATCCATACTTAGCAAGCTCTCCAAGGATCCTTATGTACCCTAAAGTTTGATGGGTTTTGCTTTCATTTTTTTATTTAGGAAGGCAGGATGTCCAGGAAGGATAGTCAGGGCTGAATCCACAGTAGCATTTGTAGGAAAATGATGGTACCTTCAGAGAGTTTGCACTCTTATTTGGTTATATTTCTAAAGAGGCCAAAATGAAGCACTTCTTCATTAATGATTGAGTTTGGAAGCTAAACAAAATCAATGACACAGTGTTGGCAAAGGGGGGGGGGCCTTGGGGGTGTATTGACCACCAGACACCTCGCTCTTCAGAGCTGTGACATATTACATTATGAGCAGAGAGTGATATATTTCCTCTTATTTAAGTGACAAGTTATTTTTGTTCTTTGATTTAAGTAGACCCATAAAGATGAAAATAAAACCCACTTAGTCTGAACAGGAGAGAAGAGTTAAATAATACAGCACATTCTTTGATTCTGGGTTGTTTTAAAGCCTGGGACTGTGGGTCAAAAATATATGGCTTTCCAAAAATCTCAAATAAGGAATAACCAAACTCTGAATTATTGTATTATTTATGACTCCCAAATTGAAGAAATAAGTAATAAAATTAATTTCATATTTACTAATCCAAATCTTTTTATAAGAAAGCCATTTGGAAAGTATAATAGTAATTACTAGAGGTTAGAAAAGGTAAATGTGAGAAGAGGTGGAGGAAAGTTATAAAAAAGCTACCAAAGAGCCAGATAGGAGGAATTCCAGTTAGATAGATTCTAGTGTTTTACAGTAAGATGTGTGACTATAGGTCAAAATAACTTCTTATATGATTTTTGAAGAACTAGAGGACAGGTGCTTGAAGTGTCCAAACAAAAAATAATGAAAAGGAGATGGAAATGCTAATTAATCTTGTTTGTTCAGTACACAATTGTATACATGTACCCCCCAAATATGTACAATTATTTTGTGTTAATAAAAAATAAAACAATTTTAAAAATCTAGTTGTAAAGGAGAACATTGTATAAAAAAATGAAATTCTGGTCAATGAATATTTAAAAGATACATTCAACATGCTGTCATTTGTCTTAGAGCTTAGAGACATAAACTGTTTTGAAACACATTCAAATGGAAATAAAATACAGCACATCAACCAAAATGGAGTTCTGAAAAATAAATGAATAAATAGATAAAAGTCAAGTGTCACTGTGAGAAAAATGTTGCTCTACTGAAGAGTTTCCCAAGGGCAGCTTTCATATCCCTGTTCCTCAGGCTGTAGATAAAGGGATTCAACATGGGTGTGACCACAGTGTACATGATGGCCACAATGATGTCCTTGTCAAGGAAATTGCTGAAAGTTGGGAAAAGGTACTGTCCAAATATGGCTCCGTAATACAGACACACAACAGAGAGATGAGAGCCACATGTGGACAAAGCTTTGCAGATTCCCTTGGTTGAAGGGACCCTCAGGATAGTGGTTCCAATGTAGCCATACGATACCAGGATACATACAAATGGCAGAGTGATGACCACCACCCCGACTGTGAACATGACCAACTCATTGAGGAAAATGTCTGAGCAGGCCAGCTTGAGCAGGGCAGCCAGGTCACAGAAGAAGTGAGGGATGGTGTTAGCAGCACAGAAAGACAGCCGGCTCAGGAGAAGGGTATGAGACAGGGAGCTGGCACAGGACAGGATCCAGGATACAGCCACCAACAAGGTACACAGCTCCTCCCTCATGATGGTGGTATAGTGGAGAGGGTGACATATGGCAACATATCGGTCATATGCCATTGATGTAATAAGGAAGCTGTCCAGGTCAGTAAAAAATATGAAAAAATACATCTGGGAAATGCACCCTGCAAAAGGGATAGACTTGTGACTAGTCTGCATGTTCACCAGCATCTTTGGGACAGTGACAGATGAGAAAGAGATGTCAGTGAGGGCCAAGTGGCTGAGGAAGAAGTACATGGGGGTGTGCAGGCGAGAGTCCAGCCTGATGAGCAGGATGATGAGCAGGTTCCCCAGCACCGTGGTCAGGTACATGCCCAGGAACAGGGTGAAGACCATGCTCCGCTGCTCTGGCCAGATGGGGAGCCCCAGGAGGAGGAACTCGGACACACTGCTCTGGTTCTCCGTCCTCATACTGCTCTTCCTCGTGATCCAGATGGAGAATGGTTGAGAATATTAGGAATGGAACTCTGAAATAATCATTTTTAACAGTCATATAAAAAAGATTCATGTACTATTTCAAGAGAGTGGGAAACAACCTATTTCTCCTTATATATTGGTAATGGAGAACTAGAAAGATTATTGATCACAAATGTTAAGGAGGGACAGCATTTTTTGTTCACTGACAAAATGTAATTCTTGCACCTGTGCCAGTGAGAATTAGACTGTGGAAAAAACATTGCTGCCAAGTTACTGCCCCAAGAAGTTTCTGTGGGAGTATTCCAAATAATTAATCATGGCGCAGCAACAATTAGATTTGATTTCTATATCCATTACTAAATTTCAGGTGAAAGGTGGCTTTTTCAAATGAAAATCTGCAAAGCATAATATTGTTTTCTTCAAAAAAACTGTCATAAACATGCATACATTTTTGTTTCAATTAAGTAAAGGGGCCCTAAAAAATCTTGATTTTTATCAATTCATTCTCTCTGTTACAACTAAAGAGACCTTTAAAAAATATTTATTTCAACATGATTTCTCCTGTTTAAAAATCCAAAGATTCCCACCGATCTTAAGATGAGAGTAACAACCTTAATATGGCTTAACAGCCCTCTTAAACCTGTGTCTTCTACATTTCCCATCAATTTTCTCTATCATCATTGCTTTCCCCACTGTTGACTTCTCTGTTTCAACTTTCCCAAAGACACATTTCCATTTAATGTCATTTAGATCCCTTCTCCTTGGTGATGGTTTTTGTGATCTAGTGCCTTGTTGGGAAAGCAAAGACAAGACTGGCTCCTGGAAAATATTTTAGGCAAATTTTTGTTTATGCCTTATTGTCTAATGGTCAACACGGGGTAAGTTAGGCGACAATTTGATATCATTTTAAATGATATTCCAAGTTTTATGGTATATATTTTTCTAAATACTTCTCAATCTAGTCCCCCTTTCTTCCTTTGATTACTTGATAAAATTTATCCTATATGAATTGTGATGGCAAACAAAGTGACATTTTAGTTGTATCCCAAGTTTTCATCTCCCTCCTAGGTGCTCCTATCATTTTAAAACACAGCATCTCCTAATCAGTTGTGGTAAGCAGTATATTGATCTCAAAGATGACTACATCCTTGTTTCCAAATCTGTGGCTATGTTAAGGTACATGACAAGGGGGAATTGAGGCTGCAGATGGAAATAGGGTTTCTAATCAGATGACTTTAGAACAAGAAGATTATCTGCATTAGCTCAACATAACCACACATTCTTAAATGTGGAAGCAGATGCTGGAGGGTCATAGTCAAAGACAGACTTGAAGATATTAAGCCACTGGTTTGGAAGATGGAGGAAGGGCTATAAGCCAAGGAAGGCAAGCTAGCAGCTGGAGCAGGCAGGGAAACAGATTCTGACCTTTAGAACGGCAAGATGGTAAACTCGTGGTGCATTTTATAGTCATGACATTTGGGGTAATTTATTAGAGCACTAACAGTAGACTTATACATTAGTGCTGGAATGACTTCAGGTACATCCAACTGTTCTGGGTGTCTGGGTGCCAATATGCAACAAAGTCCAAGTCTTTTTCCACAACTCCACAGCACAAGGATGCAATCACTCAGCAAAGCGATTTCCTACCTGAGACACAGGGAAATGAAGTTACTAGCTCAGCAAGAACATTTGTCTCTAATCATATAGGAGAGGTCAACCACCGCATTTCCTAAAACAATCTCAAGATGATCATTTTTTAAATAAGAAAAGGAGAGCTAAGAAGGGGCTCTTCTTCATCCAATGACTTTCTAATCAAGAGCAAACATTCAGCAGAAGACAAACCAGGGACAGGTTTCAGAACATCTGACTTTTAAAATGTAACTCTATAGGCTTCATTCTATTCCTAGAAGGCTTCTGCATCCTAACTTACATACATGCATACTGAGACTCATCAGAAGAAAATGTTACAAGTGTTAGGCTCAAACCTCCTCCCTTGTCTAGAATCCCAAGAGTGAACATTTTCTCTTCTCTTCTTCTTCCTCCTCTTCCTCCTCCTCTACCACCCTCACTGAAGGCACCATGAGACTGGGGAAAAGGCTCAGGTTTTGGAATAAAATAGGCTTGGCTCATGGTCATACTTTGTTCATGGTATTTTGACCCATAGCAGATTTCTTAACCTTTGCTGGAATTATCATTCAGGTGGATGAGATATAGATGCTATTTACCAGGAAAGGAAACTGCCCAGGAAACTCAGGCTGTCCTGGATGCAGTGCCTGTGCCCCAGATTGTATTTGCAAATGAGCTGGATAATTTAGCAGACAGCAAAATGCCAATCCACGAGCAGCCCACCATACCCCAAAGCCGAGGCTGGAGAGTGGCTGTGTATTCTGCAAGATGTGATAAAGCCTCTGTGCTTGCCCTGACCCTGGCCTCCTACACCACCCCCACTTTGATAATCCTTCTTCACTGAGCCTTTCTCTTAAAGTCCCCTCTTACTGTTTCAGAGGCCATGACATATCTGAACAATTCCTACACAGACAGACATTAGGAACCAAATAAGTGGCCCTTTGGAGAGACATTTGTCCTTAAAAACCCATGCTCTCATTCAACGTCTAGACTTCCAAACCCTGCAGTGGTTTGTTAAGGTATTGCAGATTGTTCTGCCTAAACAGAGAGATATTTTTGTCATCAAGGAAAAATACCCCTAATGTTGGTAGTTAGAACATTACTTTAACCATGGAGAGAGACGTTTGGGGAGCCGAGAAGGATTTCCCCAAACTGGCGAAACACTCAAACAATTGGGAATGCTCACTTCCTGTGCTGTTCAGATGTGGTTTTTTAGGCCAGGATCCAAGGCAAACGAATGCCTGTCTCTATCTCTTCATCCACTTTTCTCTCTTTTTCCTTTCTCTCATCCTGTCTTCTTTTTCTTACCTTTTTCTCTTTCCTCTCCTAATCTCCACCGTCTCTGTCCCCATATCTCTATTCTTCTCTATTCTTTCGTCACTCCATCTCTCTCTTTTCTCTTTCTTTTTTTAATGAGGTAACTTTTTTTCATAGCTTTATTTTATTCATTTATTTTTTATGTGATGCTGAGGATCAAACCCAGGGCCTCACATGGGCTAGGCACTCACTCTACCACTGAGCCCCAAACCCAGCCCATTTTCTCTTTCTTACTCTGTTTCCTATTGTCTTTTCTCATCCATGCCCAAGTCTGCCTTCTGAATTTTCCTCCTTTATATCCATATATAAGACATTAATTACTGAGGGGAAAAATTCATCCCCATTTCATCCCCATTACTGACCTTGACTGCTTTTATGATCAGGTATTTGGTGGGTGAGTGTGTCCTGAGGTTCTCTGTGGGAACTAAAAACCAGTTTCCAAGAACCTAGACACTTCTTGGGCATCAAGAAGAAATGCTACAAGCTCAATTTCTCATTGCTGCTTGCCAGTCCCAGATCTAAATATGAGAATAACTAAGTATAAAGACCCCTGGGGTGTAGGGAGTAGACCTTGTAATTTCCGGGTAAAAGCATCCATCAGACTTCAGTTAATTGCCCCTCCCCCCCCCCCTTGATTCCTCTAGGAAAGGAGTCCTATGGGAGGCATTTTTGTTCTGGGAACCTGAGAGGATGAGTCCACAGAGAAAGCATCTCAAGGCACTCTTGGCCTGTCTTCTGCTTTGCCCTCTGCCTTCCCAGCCTTAATCATACTTGGTTTGAGGTCAGGGAGGAGTGAAAATAAACTGCTTCCAACCAGGTCCAAATGGAAAGCTAAGTGATTGGCTGGCCTCTGGGAAGTTAGGTAGAACCACATCCTTTTCAAAGGGTTTTTATTGGGCCCTTCCCACCAGGCAGCCCAGAGGATGTGACTTTGTGTTTCTTTACTCTGATGATCCTATTCAATGCAACGTGGAAAGAGAAAGGGAAAAATAACTTTTATTTTGAAGTTTAATTGCTTTGCTGACAAACTTAGGTATGGTTATATCAAATAAAAATAGTTTTCAAGGGAGGAAGGATGGAAAGAAGGGATGAAGGAGAGGAAGTCAAAAGTAAACAAAAAATACCAAAAAAAAATGAACTTGAAAATAGAAAAAAAATCTGACACATAAAATCCAGAAAAATTGTCTCACACTTGAAAAGCTTCAGGTTCTTTGAAGTTGATCCTTTGAAAAAGTGATTTATTTATTTATTTTATCATTTGTAATTCTTAGGGGTGAGATAACAGACAATATAGAGAAGGATTTTAATTTTAGATTATAAACCTTGAGAGTTTGTTGGCCTTTTTCAAAACTGGGTTTAAGAGGTGGTAGATATAGTGAAGATCTTATGTGGGCAGCTTCTTTCTAGGTGATGATGCTGTTTTACTGACACAGCTTCATGAACTTTGAAACAAAGGGATTTGGAGACTCTCTCAACTCAGAATGGTTGAATCCTGCTGGGATTTCAGGCAAAAGCCAGGAAAGAAAGTTAACAGCATCTAGCCACCTCAACAAGCTTTTCATAAATCTCTTTTAATGGTTATGTCATAATAGTTTCAATGGATGTCTATCACAGTCAACATAACCTTTCCTTTACTGATGAAAACAAGGCTGTAATTTTTCTCTCTTAAAATTCTCTTTTAATTAGACATCTTTCTATATAAAGCTGTTTCAGTATGGAGCTAAGTAGAAACTTTGTCAACACCTACATCATCAACTACCCAACTCCAGTAGCTGCTATTTTGCTATAGATTGTGGCAAATCAGTCACAGTTGTCCTCTCTCCATCAACTTGGGTGCATTTGCACAAACAAACCCTTCAAAAATGTGGAAGTTTTATTCTTTTCTCTCATTTTTCAATGACTTCCATTGCATTGAACTCACTCTTCTCAACTCACTCTTTTTAAGGTGGCTTAAAACCTGGAACAGCTTTACCTATAAAATATTAAATTTAGACATTGCATTCCTTCTCTTTCCACTTTACCCAGCATATAGGCCACTAGATAAAACCTATC